TGCCTAATTAATCCCATTTCAACAAGACCTGTCCAATTAAGAAAATAATTGGACAGTTACCTATATGGGATTAATATGGGAAGCTGTATAATTAACATAGTTATATTGACAGTATTATATAAATCAGAATAACCACTGATTTATAAAATGTTTGAAAACCAGATATACCAGAGCTATCAATGAACAACTTCGACGATATGGCGGCTATCTTGGATCGCAAGGCATTATGGGCGCCTAGAGGGCAAATGAAGCAGTTACAGTAACGTTACAGTCGTACGATATTAACAGCTCATCACAAGAAAATACAACAAAAGATGAATAAGACAGCACTTAGATCACCTTTACCCATAAAAGAAAGACAAACACACGAATTTTTTTTGTATTTTCCGTCATCTTTTGCTTTGTTTTGTGCCCTGTCAAGATGGCCGCCTTATCGTAGAAGAAGTCCATTCAACTGCAGAGTTCTTCACCATCCTGCCTCTGATAAACGAGTTGTGACGGCATTAGTGGAATAGAATAATTAGGTGATTAAAAAATTACATTTGATCGAAAAAGACGAATTGCTGGCTCTAGATTGCTAATAAGTACACATGTACATTTGAATTTATTTATCTTATTCTCAAAAGAGATATTCGTCAAAATCAATCGCCATTTGTCAGTATTTATCGAAACAATGCGTTTTTACCGGAGCAAATATTTTGAAGACTAAAAATCGTCCTTGTTTTTATGAGCGTAGCACTTAAAAACCAGTTGCTAACGAACCTGTGGCCCTCGTTCCATGATCAAGTAAAACAAGGGAAACAGTCTCCCTCGCAGCCGTCTTCACTCTCACTCCATTCTCCTACGGTCCACTTCTCTCCCCACAAACGGCTGCTCATTCGAGTTGAACATTCCTTTCCGAAAATTGACCAATAGGAAGAAGGCTTCCATATTCTGGAAACCTTGGTCACAGCTTGAAACAAGGCTTACCCAATCACGTGTCTTTTTTCAGATTGTCGAAGGCAGGTGTCAAACGGTCGTCAAACGCAAGAGTGACTCTTCGTAGCGGGCCACAACAGAGTTCTTAAAACACGCTAATTCGACATTTATTGCCTTTGCTTAATTCCCTACCTCGAAATGTTACTCTGATTTTCAACTCAGAAAATAAAATAGTATGCTAGGTCATACTAGGTAGACTAGAAGTATTGAAAGTTTCATAATTACTTGACAAAAACCTTAAACCCAAACACTTGTTTACCATGTAGTCGTATGATTCATAAGTGTTGACAGACTATCTAGCCTAGACCTTCTACTATTGATGGTTTTCAATTATTCCCAAGAGAATTAAATAACAAAATACACGGCGTCCATGTTGGAGGATATAACAAAAGAATTCATTGACAATTCTTTTGTTAAAGTCCTCCAACATGGCCGACGTGAAAACCATCAATTGGTTATCATGAAGATAATGAAGATAAATTAGAAGTTCAACTCATTCCGAGAACAGAATTCCTTAATAAAAGTTTTTCTTATAGAGAAGCTAAATTATGGAATTCTATTCTCTCACAAATCCGAACATCTTCTTCGAGGATTATTTTCAAAAAAGAATGTGACTAACTGGCAACCAGATTTTACTTAGGCCCCGTCCACACGTATCCGGAAATTTTTGTATCCGCAAATTTTTTTTTGCGGATACGAAAATGTTCGCGTCCACACGCAGCGTATTCAAATCGTTTTCGAATCGTTTTCACTGTCCACACGTATCCGGAAATTTCTTGATCCGCCCTGATGCACGCTAGTGCCTAGTCCCTTTGACGGATAGTTTTTCTTATTGAGCATGCGCAAAATTGTGTTTACGTCATCGTATTCGAAAATTTGCGGATACGACCTTCCACACGTAACCGTATTCGGAGCGTATTCGAGAATTTCCACTCTGGAGACCGTTTTCGAAAATTTCCGGATACGGATACAAAAATTTCTGGACACGTGTGGACGCAACCTGTATCAGGGGCCTTAAAGCTGGTTGAATCGATAATTTATGYGTTTATATAGTTAGTTCCTCTTAGTTTCTTTTCAAATCTTTCATAAGTTGTTTGTAAATAGGATTTTTATTGTACGACTCTCATGTAACGAAGTGTCTTACACTTATGAAACTATCGTACTTAAAGAAAGATGCTATCTATCTATCTATTCGTGTAAAAAAACAATGGGAAACGAATGTTCAACTTGAGTGAGCAGCCGTTTGTGGGGAGAGAAGTGAACCGAAGGGGAGCGAGGGGAAACAAGATGATGAAAAGGAAAAAAAAAAAAAAAAAAGATAGAAAATCAGAAAGAAACCGGACCGAAGAATAACGTGTACATATAATAGTAGTGTAAAATTCCAGATTTGGCGCGTTAAAATGCTATGGTTTAAGRAAAAAAAATCTTTAAGAGTTAGTTAGTCGTTTGTTACTTGATGTTTTCTGTTCAATTCTGATCGCTATTCCTTTGTATGTGCGCCATAGGTAGACATGAGATGGTAATCAAGCTGGGATCTGAGCCATCGATAATGGAGAAATCTTGGAAGTCCTCATTGTCTGTCTCTTGGTCGGAATTACTGCACCACGATTGCAGTTTGTTTATCACACCTTCAAAAAAATCAGGATCAGGTTCTTCCAGTTCTTCAGTGTTCTTATTACGGTCCTCGGTGTCTTGCTCGTCTCCTTCTACGCCCGTGCTGCCAATTACGTATTCTTTGTCATCATCCCCGTCCTGGTCGTCTTCTGATGAGCAATATTTCCTATCTTGCATTCCAAGATATTGGAACTCAATGTCAATCTCTTCGTCTGAATAAACCATTCTGATATCTTCAGTTTTTAATGACTCGTTTAAATTTATTTTGCCTGGATAAAACGTACGGGCCTTTCTCTGAACATGAAATGCTTTTCCACTACTGGAGTCTCGAGTCGTCGGTTCCATCATGGTGTCTCGTAAAGAATTTTCCATTTCGCGGATGGTAAGTAACGGTTGCAGTACCGCCTGGTTAAAATTTTCAAAAAAACAGATTGACGATCCGATGGGAGGAATGATACAATATGGATTAAGCCTTCCATGTGTTCGATACATTTTGGTGAAAAACAACTTCAGTTGGAACTAAGTCAGCACCTTCGTAATACAATTTTTTTACAAACTGAAATGAGCCCTTAAAGTTTCGGGCAGATTTATATTCTGCAACAAGGGCTATAATTGCGTCTTACAAACCCAATTTACAAGGGCGTTGTCTCTTTTTTCTTATATCTGATTGGTCTAGAGCTTTAAGCCAAAGACACCGTTTTCTTTTGAGTCATGCGCTAYCAATTAGCTGGACAACAAATTGATATGAATCGATTATATCCAATTTGAGAGCACCAGCAAATCCTGAAATGTGATTGGCTGTCAGCAGTGCGATTAAATTAAGAATCAGACCATTTTGGGTATTAAATTGCACTGTTTTCAAGAGTCAATAAATTGCATTTGACCAATCAGATGATAGAAGAAAGAAGCTACACGGGCTTGCAATTTTGTTATCACTAGTTTGATTTCGGACCACATTTTTTATTTATTTTATTTTATACGCGATGACAAAACGATCCTCTTCTTGCCAACCGCTTCCAGTAGAGAAAGTAGACCTAAATCACAAGGGTCACATGACACAGGTCACATGGCACATGACATGGGTCACGTGGCATAATGGGAGCCAGTATTGTTTACGAACTGTAAACAAACAGGACCCAACGAGATATGAACAAAATACAGAAAATGTACTTGCTATAGTACAGAGCCACTTGAAGAATGCAGGATATCGATGACACTTTGGATTCTCTCGGCGATGACACTTGATCCTCCACCATCGTGTTTCTTTTTCTTAGCGATAAAATGACGAATAAAAATAGCCATGCCTTGGCGAGCGTGTGCCAAGTCTTTCAACGAGGCAATTCTCTCGAACGACTTCCTGAAAACAAGAGAGAAAAAAATGGTTTAAGTTTCAGTCCAAGAACGTGCATGGCTAGGGCGCAAATAGTAAAACTATTGACCAAAGGTTTTTAGAATCATTTGTGGTTTTGGTCTATTTTGGACGCGGTATTGTCCCATTTTTAGACAGTCCCCCTCTTATAAGTGTCTGTCCTTGGCTCTTTCGTCCAATGACAATTAATTGTTTTGGTCATCAATGTTTTCACACAAGGCGCTTTGTCGCTTAGTTTACCTGATAGTATCTGCAGGGTATTCAGTCAGCAAATAGGTAAAGAAATGCTTGAAGAAACGAACAGACGGTTTCTCCAGTTCCATGAAATTCACCGCCTGTAAAATAGATGACATACAAGTTATCTTGGGTAAGTTTCTAGAAAGACGATGAATGTAAATTTAAACAACCACAGCAACAGAACTAGTAACCCAATCATATACATAGAGTGGTTTTCGTACGAGTGCGAAACGATAAGGCAAGCTTGTAGTCGTACTGTACCTTTCCGTAGCCATAGTGCAGTTTTCGTATGACTGTGAACAATTCACGGCACGAACACGGTCATGACACGGCAAGGGATACGCCAGACCAATCATATTGCACGAGGATTTACTCTTCATTCAATCAAATACCCGCAACAAGCGGCATAAACACGGCGGACACGGTCACGCCAAGGTCACGTAAATGCCAGACCAATCACATTGCGCGTGAAAGAAATCAGCCAATTAAAATTTTAGAAAACATCACGGTCACGGCACGTCCAACTCTTAGGATAACCATTGTTATGGGAATACTTTTCAGTATTATGACATGTCGTACCGTGCATGTGCTTTAAGTCAGTACCTTATGTTCCCCACTCATACGATAATCATTCTTATGGGAAGCCATTTCAATGTCACGGCATGTCGTACCGTAAATTAACAATTCTTATGGGAAGCCATTTTAATGTCAAGGCATGTATTACCATACGATAAAATTTCTTATGGGAAGGCATTTCAATGTCACGGCAAGTCGTACCGTACGGTAACCATTATGGGAAACCATTTCGATATCATGGCATGTCGTACTGTACGATAACCATTCTTATGGGAAGCCATTTCAATGTTACGGCATGTCGCACCGTGTCCGTGCTGTAAGACATTGTCGCATGTTTCCCACTCCTTCGAAAACTTCTCTATCCTTCACGTATTTAGAAAATATAGTTGGGTAATTTCCACTTACTGACCTTTAGTATAGAAAGAGAAAGTGCTCTGCTTGCGATGAGGTGACTTAGAAGGAAAGACATATTTTGAACACTGCTCTCTGTCAAGCTGTCAATCACTTTTAATTTATCCCAGAATGTGTACTGAAACGTAACCTAAAAACRCAACAAAAATACACACGAACATCAACAGCAATAACAAGAAAACAGAAGAAAACACTACAACATTAAAAATAAATACTAAACAGAACAGAATTGTGAAAAGCAAACTCTTACAGMATCTGAACAGAAGAAAGTAAAACAAAAAGGCGGCGAAGCGTATGGGAAGTGGAAGTGCCGTAATTCAGTCAGGATAGCTTGCGTGCGCACCATAATGAAGGAACGGTCGCTTAGGGAAGCATGGGTGGCGTAGTGGTGAGATCGCTTGCCTCTCATCAATGCGACCCGAGTYCGATTCCCGGACTCGGTCTCTTATGTGATCGAGTGCTTCGCTGGTTTTTTCCCGGGTTTTTCGGTTTTCCCTCCTCCTCAAAATAACAATTCCTAAATTCCAATTGGAATTTCAGTTGACGTATAAAGGTATCCAGAAAGTAATTTCCTTGCTAAATCCCATTACATTTTTTTTAGTGCCTATCACGATTGGCATTTTGAAGGTTACTGTGGTTTCTTAACTGTTACCTGATAAGAATGGTTATATTCGCAGAATTTCTGTCCAAGATAGGCATAAAAAGGGTTGTAAGACTTCTCCTGAAAATAAATGAACGGCAATTTAGCATTTAGATTTTCATAGCGGATTTATACGGAGGGAGGAAAACCAAATAACCCTGGAACAATCCCACGAAGCACAGAAGCTCGGTTCAAGTTCTGTTTTTCCTCTTTCCGCAAAACCCAAAATCAAAATGTTGGGTGCCAAGTAAGCAAGTAAGTAAGAAAGTGAGTGAGTGAGTGAGTGAGTGAGTGAGTGAGTGAGTGAGTGAGTGAGTAAGTAATTTATTCACGTAGACACACAGGAGTTTACAATAAAGTCTCGTTAGAACGTGCACGTGCTAAACTTAAATCTTAATAATACAATACAGATAAAATTCAAGATCTAAAAACATTATGTAAGTGTAAAAATCACCGTAAAAATATACTGAACCACCCCACCCCACCCCACCCAAGCCTTAGATCAACCCAGAGTTTGTTTCAGATTACTTTAAAATTTGAATTTCTTTTTCAAAAAAAATAGCGCTAACATACTACGTTGAACCAAGTACTAACAGCCACTACGTATGAGAGTAAGATTGTAAATAAAGAAGCTCTGTACTGTTACCTTCATACAGCAATCAACCAGAACATGTACGATCTCACGAGCTTGAACATCCTTTAAATTTAACCGCAATAACTTTTCAAAGGCATCTACATAATCCTGAATGAAAAATAGAAATAAACATTCACGGTTAAAGAAAGGAGAGGAATAGGCCATTTGCGCTAATAAGTCACGTAACACCCATCATCTATACCACCACCCCCTATACCACCACCAACCTATACCACCACCATCACAACCACCACCACCTATGCCAACACCACTACCACCTATACACCACCACCTATACCACCACCACCTATACCACCACCACCTATACCACCACCACCTATACCACCACCA